TGTCAGTCACACTGCTCTAACCCTGTCAGTGACATGGCTCTAACCCTGTCAGTCACACTGCTCTAACTCTCAGTCACACGGCTCTAACCCTGTTAGTCACACGGCTCTAACTCACTCAGTGACACGGCTCTAACCCTGTCAGTCACACTGCTCTAACCCTGTCAGTGACACAGCTCTAACCCTGTCAGTCACACTGCTCTAACTCAGTGACACTGCTCTAACCCTGTCAGTGACACGGCTCTAACCCTGTCAGTGACACGGCTCTAACCCTGTCAGTCACACGGCTCTAACTCAGTCAGTGACACGGCTCTAACCCTGTCAGTCACACGGCTCTAACTCAGTCAGTCACACGGCTCTAACCCCGTCAGTCACACTGCTCTAACCCTGTCAGTCACACTGCTCTAACCCTGTCAGTCATACTGCTCTAACTCTCAGTCACATATATATGTATGTATGTGTGTGTATAAAAAGAACCCACTGCCATCGAGTCGATTCCGACTTACAGCGACCCTATAGGACAGAGTAGAACTTCCCCATACGGTTTCCAAAGCTGTAATCTTTAGGGAAGCAGACTGCTACATCTTTCTCCCACAGAGCAACTGGTGGGGTTCAAACCACCAAGCTTTCGGTGAGCAGCCGAGTGCTAACCACTGCGCAACTAGGGCTGCACTGTGTGTGTGTAGAGATTTTAAAAACGCAGATAAATAATATCACACTGCACATATGGCTCTATAATTCTTTTTTTTTTTTTTTTACTTAGTATGTCTTGAAGAGCTTTCCAAGCCAGTACAGATAGATCAGTAGTTTTCAGTCCTGACTTCCCATTAGTATCACCTAGGAGCTTTTAAAAATTACCAGCTCCTTTTCTAAGCTACCTAGACCAGTGAAATTAGAATCTTTGTTGAATCGGGCCCAGGCATTAGTATTTTTTAAAAGTTCCAGGTACTTCTGAAGTTTAGCCAGGGGTTGCAAGCCACTCATTTAGAACTACCTTTTTTAAAAGTTTGCCTATAGTATTTTATGTTATGAATTTGATGTAATTTTATTTTTAAAATAAATTTTTTGGATTTTATTTACTGACAGTAAATATGCCCTTGTACATGTTGTTTTATGTATATGTGTGAGTATTTCTCTAGGGTAAAATCATTGCCTTTGAGTCGATTCTGACGCATAGTGACCATATAGGACGGGGTAGAACTGCCCCATAGGTTTTCCAAGGTTGTGATCTTTATGGAAGCAGACTGCTGCATCTTTCTCTTGTGGAGCGCCTGGTGGATTCGAACCGCTGACCTTTCAGTTCACAGCCGAGCACCTTAACCACTGTGCCACCAGGGTGCCTTCTTCTCCAGGGTACACAGTACCCATTGCTGTAGGTGCCTATAACTGGAATGCTTGGTTGAAGGGAAGAGACTTAATATTCAAGCTGCCAGATCTCTCACCCAAAGTTTATACCAATTTACCATTCTCCCAACAGATTATGAGATTCCCTGTTTTTCCACACCATTGCCAAAACTTGATAGTATCAGTCTCTTAAATTTTTGTCCATCTGGTAGTGAAAATGGTATCACTATAGCTTTGCATATTGGTCAGTTGTATTTATCATTCGTCTATTATTTTGTTTGCCTTTTTTATTTGTAAGAGTTACTGATATGTTTTGCATATTTACTCTTTCTCTGTTACATATATTGAAATTATTTTTTCCTTGTGTGTTGTACCAAGATTTTAAGTTTTGATACAATTGGATTTATCAATATTTTTCTTTTGCTTTTTTGTATCTTAATTACTTGGCCCTTTCCAACCCCGTCTTAGGCTGGGTTCTCTAGAGAAACAAAACCAGTAAAGCGTATGAATACATATATAGAGAGATTTACATCAAGGAAACAGCTCACACAATTGTAGAGGCTAGAACGTCCCAAGTCCATAGATTAGGATAGAGGCTTCTCCCAATTCACGTAGCTGCAGGGGCTGGCGAACCCAGGATGGGCAGGTTGGAAAGCAGGACTCAGCTCACAGGCTGTGAAGATCAACGAATCCCAGGATCGGCAGATAAGCTGATAGCTCAAGTCCTGAAAACCGGAGGTCAGACGAACAGGAGACAGCCAGCCACAGAATCCAGAGACAGCAAAAAGCCAAAACGTCCACTTATATTCACATGCAGGCCACACCCCCAGGGAAAGTCCGTTACCACTGATTGGCCACTCACAGCATATTCAGTCATGGGAGTGATCACATATAAACCCTGAGAATCGTGGCCCAGCCAAGTTGACACACAATCTTAACCATCACAAACCCCAAGATTATAAAACATGTTTTATTTTTGCCTAACTTTCAAAAATGTTTAAACGTTTTTAAGTTTAGTCCTTCAATTTGTCAGGGATTAACCTTTGTGATTGGCGTTAGACACAGATTTGATTTCACTCAACAGTTGACTACAACGCCACAGCTTCTACCACCACACCACCGCCATACCACCTCCTCCCTCACATCAGCAAGTATTGAGAACTTTCTTCATGTCACGCAGTGCTTGTTTTATTGATAAATTACTTCATTTTAACGTATTATCTCTGTTTTTACATGTGAGGAACTGAAGCACAGAAAAGTAACTTTCCCAAAGTCACACAGTTAGTCAGTAGTGGAACCACCAGGCATACCATTTATTTGACAGTTCATCCTCTTTTGCTCAGATTGGAATTGCCAGCTGGATTTCCATGTGTATATTTGTATCTTTCTGAACTCTTTTTTGTTATTGTTCTGTTGTGCTATTTGTCTATTCCTGGGCCAATGCCATGTGATTTACTTTGTATAGCTTTCTAATATATTTTGAAAGCCATGGGGAAAGTTCCCTCTTATTGTTGTCCTTTTTCAAAAATGTGTTGAGTATTCTGACATTTTCTTCTTAGAAATGAATTTTAGAATCAGCAAGATACTTAATATCCCCTGAAACCTCAATTTCCTCATTTTTAAAAAGAGGATTTAATTTGCCTGGACCAACAGAGGAAGGAGGGTCCAGAATAGGGGAGGAAACGTGTGGTGAAATGCCTCCACGAACAACTGCCTCCTTTGCCCTGAGACCAGAAGAACTAGATGGCACCCAGCTACCATTACTGAACATTTTGATCGAAGATTCTGTAAAAGAATCCTAATCAAAAGGGAGGAAATGCATAACAGAATTTTAAATTCTCATGGAGTCAAGATTTTCTGGAGCCCTGGAGGCTGGGTGAAACCCTGAAACTATTGGCCTGAGAAGAACTTTAAACCAAAAATATCCCCTGAAGTCTCCTTAAAACCAAACTAGTAAAGAATATCTGCTTTGATCATTGTGCTCTTTTAAGATCTATCTATATGGGATCAGATTGACAACAGCAACTCAAAAGGTTAGACAGGAGCCTTATGTTAATGGGAAGGGGGGAAGCCCAGAAAAGGAGGATGAGAATGGTTGTACAGCTCAAAGAATAATCAGTGTCACTGAATTGTACATGTTGAAATTGTTGAATTGGTGTACGTTCTGATGTGTATATTCTCAACAACAAAAATATTAAAAAAAGTAAAAAGGGGGTCTATTTTAGTATGCACCTAACAGTTTTAAAGAGTTACACAGTTTTTAATAAAAAGTTCTTCTGAATGTATGGGAAAAGCTCAATTTCCTTTGTTTTGATTTAGGTATCGAGTCATTTAAACTTTTCTTATTTTTTTAGAGCGGTGTTTAGTCTGTGGAGCCCTGGTGGCGCAGTGGTTAAGAGCTCAGCTGCTAACCAAAAGGCCAGCAGTTCGAATCCACTAGTCTCTTCTTGGAAACCCTATGGGGCAGTTCTACTCTGTCCTTTAGGGTCACTATGAGTCAGAATCAACTTGACAGCAATGAGGTTTTTGTTTTTTGTTTAGTCTGTCTTCAAAATTTTTATTATTTCATAGTAGATCACTTCATCCTACCTTCTTGTTAAAGTACAATTTCTATCATCTTGGCTTTGCATAGTTTTACCAAATAAATTTATTAGTAGTAGTCCATGGTTCCAGGGCAGTGTACACGCAATGGGCAGTGATGGGTGTGTGGCAGCAAAAGGAGAAAAGACTGCATCTGAGTGATTTGGATGTGTTTATTATCTTGCCATGTTCTGATTCATGCAGTTACAGCAGCAGCTTCTTTGCTCCTTACAAGCTTTTAGAGATTCTGCCCTTTGACAAAGCCTCCCATTGCCGAGGAGAACAGATGCCAACTTGATTGTGAGGCTTGGATGCCTCCTCTAACTAATCTCTCTTTTCAGAGCAGATTGTCCTTAAACCGTCTCAGCCTTAATTGTGTGTAGTCATTAAAGTAAGTGAGCTTTCTTTTATTGCTATTGCTACAATTTTTAAAAGCTATCTGAAAGAGAGTTTTTTGTTTTTTTTAAATAAACGCTATTAGCAGCCTCTTCCTAAGTTTTATATAAAGTCCTCCAGTGCGGTTACATCTCGTTCTTGTCAGGTTTGCCTTCTGTTGATGGTGTATGTTTCCTTTTCTTCGTAAGGAAAGAATGTGGGGTCATGGAAATATTGGAGAAAACGTAAATGTTTAGCAGTAGAATATAATTATCATCATAATCGCATCTACCATTTGCTGAGTACTTAAAATGTAGGCAATGTAAACATTTTCTCCTTCCATTTTTTAAACACATGTATGCATTTATATTTGTATTCATCCTCTTGTTTAGATTAAGCAGTAGCCTGTGATGCACATTTTTCTCTACCTGGTATTTTCACCTGATAAATGCTGCAGATCATGCCATAGTAGTATATAGAGACTTTATTCCCTCTCATGTCTGCATGCTGCTACATTGTGTACATCACCATTGCTATTGAGTCGATTCTGACTCATAGCGATCCTATAGGACAGAGTAGAACTGCCCCATAAGGTTTCCAAGGGGCGGCTGATGGATTTGAACTACCGACCTTCTGGTTAGCAGCCGAGCTCTTAACCACTGAGGCACCAGGGTTCCATTGTGTGTATAGACCCTGGAGTTAGCAGGGAGTTAGCCAGGCAAAGAGGGGCCCACTAAATTCTACATATTTACTAGATTTTACATACTTAGTTTTACTAAATTTTAGATACTTAGAGAAACATTTACATTTGCTTAGGTGATATGGAATGTGGTGGTTCTTGTCTGTGTAACAAGTACTGACTTTAGGGTTTGAGCCTCCGGCTCCATTCGTAGCCAGTGGAGGAACCCTAAGCGCAGCAACCTATGCAGGGAGGGTGTGGCCAGGTCCGCGCAGCTCTCCTGCTCACTCTGCCAGCCCTTCCAGACTTGGCCACTACACAGTCTCTCCGTGAGCAGCTACCAGACAAAATCCTGGTGCTTCGTTCCCTCTGCCTTATTTCTCTGCTACCAAAAAATTCTCATGCGTATTTGTGTTGGGGACAGAGTTCAGCCTCTGGATATCTCTGTAGTGCTCAGGATATGTCAGTATATTGTGTTGTATGTGTGCTGAATGAAGGACTGGCCCCTTCTGGACATCTCTGTAGTGCTCAGGATATGTCGCTATATTTTGTGTGTGTGCTGAATGAAGGACTGGCCCTTTCTGGATATCTCTGTAGTGCTCAGGATAAGTCAGTATATTGTGTGTATGTGTGCTGAATGAAGGACTGGCCCTTTCTGGACATCTCTGTAGTGCTCAGGATATGTCGCTATATTGTGTGTATGTGTGCTGAATGAAGGACTGGCCCCTTCTGGACATCTCTGTAGTGCTCAGGATATGTCGCTATATTGTGTGTATGTGTGCTGAATGAAGGAGTGGCCCCTTCTGGACATCTCTGTAGTGCTCAGGATATGTCAGTATATTGTGTGTATGTGTGCTGAATGAAGGACTGGCCCTTTCTGGACATCTCT